ATGTGGTCACGTCTCTGTTCAACACATAACAAGATGACAGTTGTCTCAAGCTGAAATATCTCACGAGTAACCAGTTCTGCGCCATGTTCGAATGCCACGCCTACCCCGTCTCAGGGATAAGGAGTATATGTCTCGTCGTTTTCGTTGCAGACGCTGGAGCGTGTAGGTGATATGGCGTCTCCCACGACACGTCCCAGTGTTTGCAGCGAAAACGAAATTTAGCGCGCCTAAAATGGGAAAAATCAAGCGAAAAAATATTCGTCATCCAATAGGGCCCCTTCCCCTCCGCGACCGAAAACGCGCTGAGGATATCTCGATGTACGGCTGCCCTGCCAAATAGCCTTTAGCGAGGCTCCTTACAAGTTCTCCATCGTTTTCTATAAGAGACGAACTAACCTTCTCGAACAATGGCACGAAGAGAAACGGATTATTTTCGATAGTGTAGGTGGTAACTGGCTCTGGTAACAGCACAAAGACTACGAGATCCTGGAAAGATTACTGTGCAATCCTCACATCTCAGGGGCATGATGGCTGGGGGCGGGCGGCTGTCGCCAGCGTAATTGGTGGAAGGCTGAGTGCGGTGTGTCCAAACGCCTTCTCGTGTCCCTTCCACCAATGAAGCTGAGCCTCCAGCAATCCTGCCCTTTGCCTCTGACCTACTTTTCAGCTGAGAGAGAGGTTTTACTCACCTTCTCTATCGTGTAGATGGTCCAGTGAGAATTATTAAGCAGCTCGATATTTTCCAAATATCCTGGCCCAAGAATAAAGTCCTTCCTCTTAGCGATTTCCTCCGGATCCACCTTATAGCGCCATACAATTGCACTGACTCGTACCTTACCACTAGGGATTTCTCCGATGCCAGTACATATGTAAACAATCTGAAATACAAGAGAATCTGGTAGGGATCCACGAATAGCGAATGATTAGGGGGTGACAGTGATGGAGATGAGGCAAAGGCAGCATTGCGCTGAGGTAGTCTAGCCTTTCCATCTTCTCTAAGACCTAGCAGTTGCATTTCTTAGAGGGAGGC